AACGCAACAAAAGCACGCTTCACTGGCTGAGAGCATGGTCATGATCGTAAGATACGAAACGTTTTCGCATATCTTTTTTTCTTTCTTTCAAAGAACTCCTCAATGGAACTCCCTCGTTGCACAATCAGAGTTCGTTCCTCTGTGTCTGGACGTCACAAGATGCGCCAGTTGCTACAGAATCCAAAACCTGTGTTTTTGCTTCTCTTTCTGCGTTTTTTAATTACTTTAAGGGATCCTACGCATTGTTCGATTGCAATGTAGTTGTGCGTGTTGGAAGTTGTGCGTGATATTGAGATATTTAATGGTAAATATTCGATGTTGATGTAATGTTAATGTTAATGAAGCTGATTATTAATGTTAATGTTTAATGTTAATTGATGCTGATTTAATGTTTAATGTTAATGTTAATTGATGCGATTGTTAATGTTAATTGTTTTGCTCGTTGGAATGCTTGGATGCTTGATGTGATTGTTCTTATGCTGTCTTGATGGGATGCTTGACGTTAATGATTTGTTATATTTGTAGTAGTAGTTGTAGTATATGTTCTATTAAAAAATAACTTTTAGTAAATTTACTAGAAGTAATAAGTGTAATCATATTAAAATAGAAGCAATAGTACACCAGTAACAGTAACATCGTAATATGCAATTGCTCTAGTCGTATGTGTGCTGCTAGTAATGTTAGTGGTGGGTTATGGCTAATGGTATGTAATGGACTCAATTCTGCAGTATTCAGTAATAACACAGCACAGTTGATTCAAAATGCATAGTAATGTTAATAATCAGTGCTTAGTCATGAAACAACACACGTTGTGAACCATAGATGTAATTTTACAGGTGATGATGATATGTATGTGTGATGACGATGATGATATGATAATGATAGTGTCCAGGTGATGATGGTGGTGGTGGCGATTATAATGATGGTGATAATGATGGCATGGTGACGATGTCGATAATGATGATGGTGGATGATGATAATGAATGACGATGATCGATTACTAATGATAATGATTTGGTGATGGCGATGATTGATGATGAGATGAACGAATCATGATCATGATGATAATGATAATAATTACACTCGATAACAACACGAATAGCGGACAATACTCCTCTCCTCACACAAAAGCCTCTCGTGCTCAGTACTTCTTGAAACACCTCCCAACCGGAAATGAACGTCATTCAGTATTTTGGTATTTCCAATTCGTTTACGCAGAATAGACTTTAATATTATTCTTCCTTCTCTCCTTGGTTTTGGATAATCGTTGAACAATAACAATAAGAACATAAACAATAATTTGAAAATAACGAGTATCTTATTGCACTCTATCTCCTCTCTCCTTCCTCTCTTCTCTCCCTGTTCCTTTTCTCTTTCTTCTTTTCTCTACTCTCTTTCTCCTCTTTCCTCCTCCCTCTTTCTCTTCTCTTCTCTCTTCTCCTTTCTCTCTCTTTCTCTCTTTTTTCTCTTTCTTTTGCTTTCTTTCTTTCTTTCTTTCTTTCTTTCTTTCTTTCTTTCTTTCTTTCTTTTTTTCTTATTCTCTCCTTCTTTCTTTCTTTCTTTCTTATTCTCTCCTTTCTCTCTCTATTTTACTTTTTATCTATTATCTTAGCAATAACAAGAAGGATAAGAACAGAAGCAACATCGATAAATCATTTATGACGATGATAATGATAGTAATAGCAGTCACTTATTAATATTCGTATTCGTATTCTTATTAATAATATCCACACCATTACCAATTTTTATTATATTGTTATTATTGTGTTATTATTATTACTGTTATTATTATGTGTTATTGTTATTGGTGTTGGTATCGTTAGTTTACTGTTATTTATTAGTTATTGTTTATTATAATATTAGTAATAATTAAATCATCATCATCACGAGTATAGCCATTATTTTCATCAGTTTATTGCGTCTCTATTAATGTATCCATCTGCCATGTAGGTAGAAATGAAGCAATGTTTACGTTTAAATCAATAACGGGCGATATTTTCAAGAAAAAGTTGACCAGTCGAATACCAAAAAGAAAATGAAGAAAACAACGAGAAGATAACTGAACAAGGCCCAGGGTAAAGGAATGAAGAAGTATAAACCACTAAGACGAAGAGAGACAGAAAAGTAAGGTGAGAGACAATTACAATCAGCTGGAGAATTGAATTTCCCGCCACGCCCCTTTTTTTCCAGGACCTGATCGGAGCCGTCCAGCGAGGCGACGCAGCGGGCGTGTTGGCGGCCCTCGAGAGCGGGGGCGACGTGAACGCCGTCGTCGTTTGCGAAGATGAGGTGGAGAGAACGGTCCTCGCCCTGGCTGCGTTCTTGGGGCCACGCCACCTCGTGCCCGTCCTGGTGGAGAAGGGCGCGAAGGTGGACCAGAGAGCCGGCAGAACCATGACGGCGATCCACACGCCGCGAGGGAGGGGAGGCCGAGGCGCTGAAGGCTCTGTTGAAGGCCGGCGCGGACCTCAATGCCCCGAGATCCGCTACTGTGCAAATATTTTTATGTTGGTCTACTCTCGGCATGAATGCTGAGTGTCTTTAATTACGGTCATACTGAGGCATCTCTTGTCTGTTAAAGTGTCATAAGAGAGTTGTAAAAATAAATAAATAAATGATGAGGACGACCTTTAAATACTTTCTCACTTTGTTGCAGTTAACAGCCCACTCCACTTCGCTACAATGACTAGTAACTTCAACTGCGTGAAGGTACTGGTCGAGGCTGGCGCTGACTTGAACTGCAAGGACATCTACCACTACCGCCCCCTGCACATCGCATCGAGGACCAACTACCTGCCCATCATCAAGTACCTGCTCGAGTCTCGGTGTGACCGCGGGGCGAGGACGGTGCAAGGCTGGACGGCGCTCCATGTGGGCGGGATGAGCGGCAGCGAGGAGGCGGTCAAACTCCTGATAGAATCCGGCTCGACTTGGAGGCGCTGGACAACGACGGGCGCACTGCAGCCGTGCTCACCGACGAGTGTGGGCAGGGCACTTGTACTGGTACTTCGCGAAGACCTTTGGGCGTCCACATCCTTGTCTCCGGCAGTTAAGGTGAGATGGCTGTGAAAAAATGAATATATTCAGTAATGTGACAGATTTTACATTTCTCAATAATGTGCCACAACAGAAACACACGAAGCCTCAAACTCTGTCCTCTGTGATTTGCTGTGCCTCTGCCCTGCATGAATAGGAATGGCTACTAGGATATAGTGGCCATACGGTAATATAGATATATATTCTTTCTCTGATTTTTGTAATGACCAGCGCTTATCCGTCTGTCTATCTCCTGCATACGCTTTCTAGGCCCGCCAGAGCATGGAGAGGTATGACATTGAGCAGTTGGTGCTAACGTGGGCGTCCCAAGACATCGAGGCCAACAAGCATCTCCTTCGCATGAACACTCCGTCACCCTTCGACGGGCACTACCAGGACCACTCCGGGCGCACAGCTCTCCACGTGGCGGCAGAGAACGGCCACAGGGGCAACGTGGTGTCTACTGGAAGATTGCAAGATCTACCCAGCAGTGCGCACCTATGCGGGGCAGACGCCGGCTGAACTGGCGAGAGCCGCCGGACACGAGGATCTGGCGAAGATGATAACGGCGAAGTTGGAGCGTGTGGAAGTAGGTTACGTTGGATTTCTGGTTGTCAAGTTTGATGAGTAAAGTGTGCTTAAGATGAAAAATATTCACGTTTGAGACTTATTATTATTATTATTATTATTATTATTATTAGAGAGAGGGGGTCTTCGCAGCGTGTGTGAGGGGGGGGGGGGTAAAATAGACAACTTTGGCTGTAATGAATGTTTATTTTAAACGTTTCGAAGACAATGTCGGTATCTAAATGAGCTCGTGTTCATCTTATGGATGAAGAGCGGTTCTAAGCTGAGGAGGTCGAGTCGAGTATGATAACGATGTTACCATACCTTAGACACACCTTAGACACAAGTACTAAAATCCACAGAGTTGTGCGAGATGCAAATCCACTGGTTCCCCCAAACTAAGCTCAGTCTTGACCTCATAAATGATGGATAATATCAGCTCTTCTTTAGGTAAACGAAAACGTCTCTACCTTCGGAACCTTGAATCTTGTAAATGTACTCATTTTGCCTAAAATGTATCGCTAGGTATATTGGGTTACCTTCTCGTCATCTCACAGTACTCGAGCGTATGGACGTACATGTACTCTCCTACCTCAAAAAAGACCGCCAACCTCTGCCATCTACCAGCATGGACACGCAGCTAACCGCCCTTTCACTCACAGTTTCAGAAAGTTATCCAATAGACTCGATCTTCTCATTAGAATCTCTGTACGCCCATAAGATCAAATCCGAGCTTAGCAAACATATGTATTATAAATACACGTTAATGTATATATATATTTGTATTGCATGCTCTTGAAGTTGCACAGAATTCCAGGCATAGCCTATGTATCTAGAAACTTGATATTTGTAGATTTTTTTTCTTTTTTTTTTTTTACATAAAATACTATATTTAACTAAATGAAGAAATGTGTGAAATTGGAAATGCTAATAGTATTGGTATTATTTTCAAGTATAATCCTGAGAGTTCTCGATTACTGGGACTAACTGGACCCGACAATGGTGGCCAAGCTTAGGCACTCATGGAAAAAAAAAACTTTCAGGCAGAGAGGAAGCAGAGGACCTGTACAAGACCTTGCTGACTGTCATCGCAGACGGGGATGATGTGAAGACGGCATCCTCTCTGCTCGCTCGCGGATGTCCCATGAAACCTTGCGGTCTCTACTCCACGCACGCCATCGTCCTGGCTGCCACCATCAACCGCTGCAGGATCCTCACTCTCCTGGTGGCCGCGGGGGCGTCGCTCTTCGCCACCGTTCAGGGCCTGACCCTGCTGCAGATCGTCTGGTTCACGGCAGACGTCACCATGTTCGTGAAGATGATAGTAACCAAGGTAGTTTGTGATATATTGAGAGGGCGTTGAGATGTGGGATGAGGCTGATCTTTGCTTGCCAGAAAAATGGTTAGAGATTTTAATGCCGATTTTCAATCGCCATAACTTCAAAGAAACTAGTATTATCATTATCAATAATGTTTTTGTTACTGTGTTATTATCATTGTTTTTTTCTTTATTTCAATTTACAGTCGATACTTCACATGCTGCAGGAGGAACACAAAAGGGCGGAAAACTGGCCCGAATTACAGAAAGGAATCTCGTCCATCCTGGACACACTGCAGGGAGAGCAACCTTGGATGGCATGTTGGCCTGTGCACATACCCTCAGGAACAGTCAATCCTGACTCGACGACTCACCGAAAGCAATCTACGCGAAGTGTAACCTCACAGTTGTCATTCTCCTGAATGCGGGAGCGATGCCGCTGCTGGATGAGGGAGTTCTATGGGATGAGTCCCTTTGGAGGTTTCGCTCAATGAGAAGCTGTGGGCATGGCGGCGAGGCTGGCGCGCATCTCAGGCGGCTTGTACGTCGCCGACTCGCAGGGCAAGTTCTACAGGGACTACTGGCCATGGAGTCAAAGAATGGAAACTGGAATATGTAAGATATGATGTATTTAGATAAAAAAGATGACTACATATGCGTTTGCATTGTGTGATTGCGCTTTTATTAGTATATACGATGATTTTGAACCTTTGATTGTATGATCTCATTAGCACAGTCTCATTCTTTTCAGAGCATTTTTGAAAAGAACTGAGGGAAAATACTAACACGAGAAAGAA